ACGGAGAGTTCATTAAGGAGTGTTTGTTGGACTCTGCGAAAGTGAAATGAGAAAGTGCCGCTCTCCCGACGCACTGTTACGAGGAGGATTGAGGACATCGCGGGAAATCTGGAGCTTCAGCTGCAGAACAGAGCGGTCAACTTTGACTTTTTTTCCTTGGCTTTGGATGAGAGCTGCGATATACGTGACACTGCCCAGCTACTCATCTTCCTACGCTTCTCTCAAGCCAAATGGAGGACAACATTCTCACGCACTTGCCAACACTGAAGGAAGCCACACCATCAGCTGATCACCTCCAGAGGTACTCATCCATGTTAGAAGCACTGCATGGTGAGTTTTCAAGGCGATTTAAAGACTTCAAAACAGTTGAGAATAAAATGAACATGATCTTTTCCCCATTTACATGCCATGTGGATGATGCACCCAGTGATGTTCAGCTTGAACTCATTGACCTGCAGTCTGACACACTTCTGTCAGAGCACTTTAGGTCAGTCTCACTGCCTGAGTTTTACGCTTCCCTGAAAGAGGAGAACTTTCCACACATCAGGAGACGTGCTCAGAAGATGATGGTCCTCTTTGGATCTACCTACATATGTGAACAGACATTCTCAGTGATGAAGTTCAACAAATCCAGATACAGATCCTCTATCACTGATGATCACCTCTCAGCTGTCCTTCGCATATCCACCTCAGACATTGAACCAGATTTCCGTGCACTTGTTCAAGCCCAAGACAGACTGGATTTTTCTCACTGAACAAGTAAAATTAACTGAAAAACAAAAATCAAAAGCACTCATTTCTTTTTGTATAAAGCTGATTCATTTCTTATCTTTAACATACTGTAAAACACCTTTTCAGTATTGGTATATTGAGCAGAATTAAGTTCAACTTATTTTTGATTCGGCCCCCCAACACAGCTCGAGTTTCTGAAGTGGCCCCTTGTAAAAAATAATTGCCCACCCCTGCCCTAGGGGTTTTTAAATCTACACTAAAAACACACGTCTTCTCTCTGGCTTTCTAGTTAGAGCGGAGCACGACTCCTGACTTTTCCGTGTGTTTTATTTTTATTTTGTTTTTAAGATATATCTGTTGTAATTTATTGTCGTTTATTGTGATTTGTAGTAATGTGTTTTTATTACATGTACAGCACTTTGGCTCGACCAAAAATCGCTTTTAAATGTGTTATATAAATAAAACCTGATTTGATTTGATTTGATTTAATGGAGCGATTGAACAAAGGCAGTGACAGAGAATCAAGACGTCCTCAGAGAGAGTCTGTCTCCTTCTATAGATCTCACACTGATGAACACAGAGAGCGACTGGACGGCAGCACGACCCTCTGTTCACACTGAGATCATGGCCTACAGAAACACCTGATCACGTGACTCACTGTAGAGGCCTTCACACAGCGGGGGGGTTTGTCTGAAACAAGGGGGATTCCTGAGAGTTCACTCCTCGAATCAAGCTAACCAATCATGTTGAGTCTTTATTCATGAGGATTACAGAACCTCTCCATAGTCAGAACCAAGCTGGTTCCACCTGAACCTGTTCCTCCCCGGACTCTGGTCCTCTGCTCTGTGACTCTGATCTCTGAGTCCTTCTTCTACTTTTCTACACACTTTGTTTTTTGCACCTGCCTTTGTTCAGTCGGGCTTTTAGTTCTTTAGTTGATTAAAAATGTTAAGCAGCAAACCCCGATGTTAGTCATTCTGTATCTGTGTGAAAGAGCTTGTTATTTTAAATTGGTCTCCTACGGAACTGTTTCAAACACGTCATGTGGTCTTAATGTGATCTTATCAAAGTTAAAGAGAATTATAAAAAAAGCATGTACATCACAAACACCCACACACACACACACACACACACACACACACACACACACACACACACGTACACACCACCTATGATAAGGACATGTAGCGTATTGCACAACACCTCTCATCACATCATGGAGCTATTGCACAAACCCCCCCCCCCCCCCATGAGTGAATGTGTGTCAGTCTGAATGGAAGTGTTTTGGCCTCACAGCACCGTTATTAAAGCTTCTCTGCTATTAGACAGGTGATGTTAGGGGGGGGGGGGGGTTGGTGGCTGCGGGCTGCAACTCCTGATCGGAGCAGAGACACACGTTCACCAAGCCGAAAAAACTATATCCGGTCCCAGAGATCTGCTATTTTAAAGTAAAGTCAATACATATATATGAGGAGGCGTGTGGCGCAGTGGGTTAATGTGCTGATCTTCGAATCAGAGGATAGCAAGTTCGAGTCCCACTGCAGTCAGCATGTCGTTGTGTCCCTGAGACACTTCACCCCAAATTGCTCCTGTGGGGATTGCCCACAGTATTGAGTACTTGCTTTGGATAAAAGCATCTAACAAGTGACATGTAATGTAACATATAGAGTCTATATTAAGAACGAGGAAAGTTTTAACTTAGGCCTATATAACGTTTTTTGTAAACATATGATAACTGTGCGAGGGTGATGACGTCAGAGCATCGTCATGTGCAAGAGACAGCCCCGGCCCAATTTAACCCCTGCTCAGAAGACACACTCTCAGAAGACACACTCTCTGAAGACACACTCTCTAAAGACACACTCTCTGAAGACACACTCTCTAAAGACACACTCTCTGAAGACACACTCTCTGAAGACACACTCTCTAAAGACACACTCTCTGAAGACACACTCTCTGAAGACACACTCTCTGAAGACACACTCTGAAGACACACTCTCTGAAGACACACTCTCTGAAGACACACTCTCTGAAGACACACTCTCTAAAGACACACTCTCTGAAGACACACTCTCTGAAGACACACTCTCTGAAGACACACTCTCTGTCTCTGAAGACACACTCTCTGTCTCTGAAGACACACTCTCTGAAGACACACTCTCTGAAGACACACTCTCTGAAGATACACTCTCTGAAGACACACTCTCTGAAGACACACTCTCTGAAGACACACTCTCAGAAGACACACTCTCTGAAGACACACTCTCTGAAGACACACTCTCTAAAGACACACTCTCTGAAGACACACTCTCTGAAGACACACTCTCTGAAGACACACTCTCTGAAGACACACTCTCTGAACACACTCTGTCTCTGAAGACACTCTCTATATCAGTGTGTGGTTCTAGTCACTCTGCTCAGCGCCCCCCCTTCTCTGACTGAAGCTCAGAGGGTGGCAGGAGATTCTGAGGGGTGGCATCCCCTGGCAGAAGTATATGCTGATTTAATCTCAGTCATATCAATCAATGTTAACTTGGAAAGCCACAATGTTAATATTTTTAATTCAATAACATTAGGTGACATTATTGTGGCACATCAGTAAAGCCTTACATATAAATATATAAGGTGGCAGACAGAATTTAATGAATTTTAACTGAACAATAACTGAATGAGTTTGTTTCACTCTTAGACCAGCAGGGGAACCAAATCTATGAAGACTGCTGCAATAAGTACATTAATTAACTGTCTCATCGATGTTTGTCTGTATGAATATGATACCATTAACAATCATATTATTCCTATCAGCTGTCAATCACTGTTATAACTGCTAAAACACATCTTATTTGACTTTCTCAGGACTTAAAACTGTTTTTTGGGGGCAGACCCCCACAAAGAAAAAATATATATACACACACAAGGTCATCATCTTAACAGTTTTTTATGCTCATCGAGCAGAGCATCAAGTTGGCATGCCTATTACAGCTGAATGCGTAATAGGCAAATGAAATCGCCGCCAATCATATTTCCAAGCTTGCGCCAGGGCCGGGGGAGGGGTTACAAGACTCGCGCCTTGTGCTGCATTCACTTGCACTCGGACATTAGAGATTTTCTCTCATAAACGTCCGATGAGCCACAACTTTTCTTTCAAAACAAAGCTGCCAACTGGGGTGGCAGCTGGGGTGGCAAGGCTATTTTTTAGGGTGGCCACCCCCTGCTGAAGCGTGATGTATTTGGTTCTTGGCGGCCAGATAAGAACCGGTTTTCTGAGTCTTAATGGGAGCCTCCAGCTCTCAGGATCCTCTTCTGTGGAACCAGCCCCCAGTCTGTTGGGGGGGGGGGGGGGGGGGGGGGGGGTCCACATTAAAGAGCAGCTGAAGACTTCCCTTTTTATAAAGCTGAGTCAGGCCTGACATCAACACCCTAATGCAGGGGGGTCAAACACCATTTCATCTCGGGCCACATCAGCATTAAGCTTGCACTCAAAGGGCCGGTTGTAACTTTAAGACTATATAAATAAATAAATAAATATATAATATATGTAAAATAATGTATTATACGTTATTGACTCCCTCAGAAGTCTAGGGCAAATCATTCTCTTCAGTGTGAATATCACAAAATGAGTAAGAAACCATTCCAATGTGTACTATAGGACAGTAACAAAAACAGTTTCAAAGGGGAGTGATTAGTAAAATATGCATAAATAAAAAGAAAGAATACTAACTAGGTAAGAAGCAATGTTCAAATCATTAACCCGGACTTAACAGGTTAATGAGGATTACAGAAGCTCTCCATAGTCAGAACCAAGCTGGTTCCACCTGAACCTGTTCCTCCCCGGACTCTGGTCCTCTGCTCTGTGACTCTGATCTCTGAGTCCTTCTTCTACTTTTCTACACACTTTGTTTTTTGCACCTGCCTTTGTTCAGTCGGGCTTTTAGTTCTTTCAGTTGCTTAAAAATGTTAAGCAGCAAACCCCAATGTTAGTTGTTCTGTATCTGTGTGAAAGAGCTTGTTATTTTAAATGAGACATTTATGTTTACTTGTTCTCCTTCTAAAGACTAGCGTTGGATCATTTCCCTCAAAATAGGATCATGCTCAGCCTCTGATGTGATGATTTGACATGTAGCTGAAGAGAGAAGAGAGCGGGAAGTGACCATCAGATATCAATACCATATCAATACCATCAGATATGTTTCCAGAGAGACTCCACCTCTCGCTTTACGCTGATATAATGCGAGGACAAAACATGAGATGCTCAGAATAAAGAGAGCGAGAGAGAGAGACAGAGAGAGACATGGATCACCTGCTGCTGCTGATGATGCTACTGCTCTGTAGCTCAGGTAAGAATACACTTTATTATTTATTATATTCAAATATCTTTGTGATCTCTCAAGAAAAAACTACTTGTAAACACTGACAGCAAGATACACACACACACACACACACACACACACACACACACACACACACACACATACACACACACACACACACACACACACACACACACACACACACACACACACACACACACACACACACACAGGCCTGACACCATCACAGACATGGTGCACTTTAATGCTACGATGTGTGTGATCTTAGATAGTAATTCAAATGTATTAAATATATCCTACGTCAAATACTCTACATGTGTTGTACAGACTTTTGTGATTTGTGATTGGCCCACATTCAGACCAATCAGGAATTGAGCAGCACTGAACTTGTAGAAGCCGAGTATGTTGTGTTCGAACTGTTTCTTTGCACACAATTGAAGGCTCTGTACGCCCCGAGGTGATGGGAAATGGACCATTAATACACTCCTCACCACCTTCCACAAGACCCTGGTAGCCATGCCAAGTGTCATAGGGGCATTTAAGTCTGCCTTAACTTTCGGGGTCTCCACTGCAGAATGTGGGACCCTGAAAAGCATCACGCAGCAGGGAGATGGTTTGCATGTGGAATAAACATCGTGGTGCTTACTCTGTATTCTGTGTTTGCTGCTCGGTCAGCGGTTGCCCAAGTTGAAGGCCCAAGCAAAGCTGCTTTGTTTAGTTATTGTGAATGTGTGCCTTGCTCCTGAGTGCTGTGTTCCCAGTGATTGTGCCGCCGTGCACACGGAGTTTCAAACGTGGTTTCTATGCTGCTCTTTATTTCTGTGTCTCTACGCAGTGATGTTGGCCATGCTGTTGATCTTATCTACATGACGGGTTAGTGGGTCCTCACATGCCCTCTCTGTAGACCGGGCGCACACACACACACACACACACACACACACACACACACACACACACACACACACACACACACACAATTTTCTTTGGGTAAATATATATTTTATTGATCTCCCCTTCATCGTCTTTATATTCAGACATTACGAGTTGTTTTCTCCGGAGGCTGCGCTGACGCCTAGAGAGAGTGTCTTTAGAGAGTGGGTCAGTTGTGCAATAGCTCCCTGTCCTTATCGCTGGTGGTGTGTGTGTGTGTGTGTGTGTGTGTGTGTGTGTGTGTGTGTGTGTGTGTGTGTGTGTGTGTGTGTGTGTGTGTGTGTGTGTGTGTGTGTGTGTGTGTGTGTGTGTGTGCGTGTGTTTGATCAGATCAAATGAAGACACGTCATCAGTTGCATAATCAGCAGAAACTACGGAAAGAGTTTGTTTTCAACAAGGATGTAACTTTGGTTTGAGAAGTGGGGGGGGACAAAACAGGGGTCCTCCGCAATGAGACATTTTCTCTATTTAATTCCTTTTCTTGCCTTTCTACAAATATATTAGGGACTATGGTGTTAACAAGGCCAAGAGAAGTGTGTGGTGTATATGATGAGAGTGCAGATGGATCTAGTGTCCTCTCCATGTGAACCTGATGTGTTTCTTTACATTGAAGCTAAAGCATCAATCTGGTGCACTTTGAGGGCCACATGAAGAGATGTATGGATACAGCTCTCAACACTCAGATGAAACAGAACTGTATATATTTCAATCATCAAAAAAACATTAGAATATGCTCACAAGCAATAACACATATTTGATCACCTCCTCTCTCCTCTCTGTATCTCACCTAGTCTGCATCCTTTCTTTTTATTGATGCATATTTTACTAATCACTCCCCTTTCAAACTGTGTCTTTTATTTGTGTACTGACCTATAGCACACAGTGGAATGATTTATTAACTTGTTTGTTACAACTAGGCTTATATTAAATAGATGGAGATATGTGTTTACAAAGATGAGCAAGCCGTTTGAGAGCCACTGAGATAACTTAGACTAAAGTTTACAATCTAATCCCTCAGAGAGTCCTTTAGCTCACTGAGCGGACGTGATCTCTCTCAGTCCCCCAGGAGAGAGCTCTCCCTCTCCTTACTGTTGAGACAGCTTACAATCTCCGTTAGCTCAGAGCTAGCACCAGATGCTAACAACAACCCCCGTAACTGGTGGTGAGGCGTTCAGGTGACAGCAGAAGGTGGGAACTGGCAGCATCTCTTTCCTCTGTGGTTCCTCCTAATGTAATTGTTGCTGTAGAACATGTGTCAGTGTGATGATGGTGCACCATGACTCATTTGAATTGAAGGAGCATATTCTCTAAACTCAACTGTTGCTTTAACTCTGAATATGTGACTTCTCTGTATGAACGTGTTATTCTCAGCTTTAGTAAACTGGTGAAATGACTCCACAGTGAGTTCGCTGACGTGTTCTCTCTCTCTCTCTCTCTCTCCTCTCGCTCTCTCCTCTCCTCTCTCTCCTCTCCTCTCTTCTCTCTCCTCTCTCTCTCTCTCCTCGTCACTCTCCATCTCCTCTCTCCTCTCTCTCTCCTCTCTCTCTCTCTCTCTCTCTCTCTCTCTCTCACATTTGAATAGTGGGGGGGGAAACAAACGGGATTTTGAAAAGTGAGGGGGACATGTCCCCAGTGGAAATTACGCCCAAGTGAAAAATGATTTTCCTCCTTAGGTTTCTTTGACTGCTGTCAGAGTGTGTGTGCATGAGTGGGGTCCACATACACACACCGTCTGGTTTATAAGCATAAGTGGGGTCTATATATGTACACTGTTCAGATTTTAGGCACCATTGGGGTCACTAACACACACACACACACACACACACACACACACACACACACACTGAAAGCAAGCCATTCAAACACACACACACACACACACACACACACACACACACACACACACACACTGAAAGCAAGCCATTCAAACACACAAACACATACACACACATATCCAATCACACACACTGACCACACACAGAGACCCCCCCACATACAAGCATACACACATAATCGGGGTCACTTTACACACAATATATTACACACACACACACAGAGGTACTGAGGTGGGATCCATATATACACACAGTCTCTTTTTTAGGCATCAGTGGGGTCACTTTAAATACACACGTACACACTCACACAAACAAACTCTTACATCAAGTTTTATCACCAAATACTTTGATATTTGTTAAACACAATCACACAAATCACAGAGACACACCAACTTACATGCACACACACACACACACACACACACACACACACACACACACACACACACACACACACACACACACACACACACACACACACACACACACACACACACACACACACACACACACACACACACACACACACACACACACACTAACAGGTACAGGTCAGTTAGTTAACGTCTGCAGTTAGTGATAGGGGAGTGAGGCGTTCAGGTGACAGCAGAAGGTGGGAACTGGCAGCATCTCTTTCCTCTGTGGTTCCTCCTAATGTAATTGTTGCTGTAGAACATGTGTCAGTGTGATGATGGTGCACCATGACTCATTTGAATTGAAGGAGCATATTCTCTAAACTCAACTGTTGCTTTAACTCTGAATATGTGACTTCTCTGTATGAACGTGTTATTCTCAGCTTTAGTAAACTGGTGAAATGACTCCACAGTGAGTTCGCTGACGTGTTCTCTCTCTCTCTCTCTCTCTCTCTCTCTCTCTCTCTCTCTCTCTCTCTCTCTCTCTCTCTCTCTCTCACATTTGAATAGTGGGGGGGAAACAAACGGGATTTTGAAAAGTGGGGGGGACATGTCCCCAGTGGAAATTACGCCCAAGTGAAAAATGATTTTCCTCCTTAGGTTTCTTTGACTGCTGTCAGAGTGTGTGTGCATGAGTGGGGTCCACATACACACACCGTCTGGTTTATAAGCATAAGTGGGGTCTATATATTTACACTGTTCAGATTTTAGGCACCATTGGGGTCACTAACACCCACACACACACACACACACACACACACACACACACACACACACACACACACACACACACTGAAAGCAAGCCATTCAAACACACAAACACATACACACACATATCCAATCACACACACTGACCACACACAGAGACCCCCCCACATACAAGCATACACACATAATCGGGGTCACTTTACACACAATATATTACACACACACACACAGAGGTACTGAGGTGGGATCCATATATACACACAGTCTCTTTTTTAGGCATCAGTGGGGTCACTTTAAATACACACGTGAGTTCGCTGACGTGTTTCTGAGATGATAGAAAACTCTGTTTACCTTATCTTCTGATTTCTCCTCAGGACTCCAGGCTGAAGGAGAACACAACTCAACAGGTAAAGTGCTCAGTTTATTCACCCTGTTACTCTTTAAGTGATTCAAGTCTGTAAACAACCTTTATCATAAAACATGATGTAGTTTAAAGACTTCACCACTAACTGATCCTAGTTTCATCATTTATGATTTTACCATGTTTGTGAAACCAGGATATACTTCAAAGGTAAACAACAAACCATCATCACCTTGTCATCACCACCACTTTTCATGATTATACTTTATAAATACCATCAGATCATCACATTGAAAAGGAATCGAACTTCGATACAACCAACGTTAATATCTAGGCCGTCTCCGATACCGAGCTCCGGTGCTGATAAGGCTCCGGTGAACGGCCGTCCAATCTTTTTAGGACTAAACCCCCCAGAATCTACACGCAAGATCAACGTAATCTGCTTAGGGGGGCGCTTACAGCGTGGCCTCTAACACCAAACTGCCTGTCGTATCCCTATTTTAGGCACTCCAGCCTCGGATGTCCGACCGCTAGGATAGCAAAACGGTGTACACACAGTCTGGTTTTGGGGTATACATGGGGTCACGCACTGTCTTACACACACACACACACACACACACACACACACACACACACACACACACACACACACACACACACACACACACACACACACATACACACATACAGACACACAAAAACACAATCAAACACTCATACCATACTCACAAATACATACAGTTATACACTCACACACTCAAACACACAAACATCCACACACACACTCACACTCACACTCGCACTCACACTCACACTCACACTCACACTCACACACACTAACAGGTACAAGTCAGTTAGTTAACGTCTGCAGTTAGTGATAGGGGAGTGAGGCGTTCAGGTGGCAGCAGAAGGTGGGAACTGGCAGCATCTCTTTCCTCTGTGGTTCCTCCTAATGTAATTGTTGCTGTAGAACATGTGTCAGTGTGATGATGGTGCACCATGACTCATTTGAATTGAAGGAGCATATTCTCTAAACTCAACTGTTGCTTTAACTCTGAATATGTGACTTCTCTGTATGAACGTGTTATTCTCAGCTTTAGTAAACTGGTGAAATGACTCCACAGTGAGTTCGCTGACGTGTTTCTGAGATGATAGAAAACTCTGTTTACCTTATCTTCTGATTTCTCCTCAGGACTCCAGGCTGAAGGAGAACACAACTCAACAGGTAAAGTGCTCAGTTTATTCACCCTGTTACTCTTTAAGTGATTCAAGTCTGTAAACAACCTTTATCATAAAACACGATGTAGACTTCACCACTAACTGATCCTAGTTTCATCATTTATGATTTTACCATGTTTGTGAAACCAGGATATACTTCAAAGGTAAACAACAAACCATCATCACCTTGTCATCACCACCACTTTTCATGATTATACTTTATAAATACCATCAGATCATCACATTGAAAAGGAATCGAACTTCGATACAACCAACGTTAATATCTAGGCCGTCTCCGATACCGAGCTCCGGTGCTGATAAGGCTCCGGTGAACGGCCGTCCAATCTTTTTAGGACTAAACCCCCCAGAATCTACACGCAAGATCAACGTAATCTGCTTAGGGGGGCGCTTACAGCGTGGCCTCTAACACCAAACTGCCCGTCGTATCCCTATTTTAGGCACTCCAGCCTCGGATGTCCGACCGCTAGGATAGCAAAACGGAGTGTATAGTGTAGTAGGTGTTGGTGGGCTGGTAGAACCCCAGAGCAGTATCTAAACTGCCCCTGGAGGAGAAGCCCCGTGTCATTGGGAGACTCCTTGGTAATTAGGGCAGCTTCAGGACCCACAATCCCTAACCCCCAATTTTGATCCCCATATACCAATTAAAAATGAACAAAAAAATGTAAAGTTAAATTAAAACAAATAAAGACTGATAATAATAATATGCAATTTTAACGAGAGGGAATATGAACATTTTTCTTGAAAGCAGAACACGTTGTCAATGTCATGTTTAGAATCAAGTTTTTTCTTTAAACATTTCATTTCAAATATGCAAACTTGAAGTTGGTTCAAGTCCTTTGCGTAGGCCGCCTGCATCCTGTGCTTCAGTGTCTTCATACCCGCTGTAACCGCTCTCAAGGTGTCAAAAACCACAAGCGCAACCACAATACATAAAAGTCAAAAGCTAATTCTTGTCAAAGTTTAAAAAGCAAACTTATCTCTAAACAATTGAATATTATCATAATGTCACACAAACATAAAAGAATATAATGATTAACAATCATGTATATCAGAAAACATAGATATGCACCACTGAGTATATAACTGTGTTTAAACAACACAAAGCTAAATGGCTTAACAGCATTAGCATAAGTAGTCAAAAATGTATAGTAACATGATGTTTAAAATAAATCTAGATACTCTGCACTTTTAACGGCACAATGTCGGCAGGTCAGGTCCACAGCATTTCTGGGGCCTTCTCTCATCTGTGGCCCGTCTGGTCAGCTGCTGTAAAAGATTAGTTTGGTGGCACAGAAGTCCTAGATTTCTTAGCCGGAGGAGGACAGGTAGACCCTTCCCCAAGCTCCCTAGGACTAATGTCAAAATAATCTTGGAAATGTTCTGTAACATACCAGCGAGGTGGTTCCCTGTTATCCCCGCGGAGTCTCAGTGAGAGACCCGTCCAAGATGCTGGCAACAAATGATCAGATAAATCTTCTCTCTGATATAAGCGTCCATCACCAACCAACCACTCAACAGAACGTCTATAAAGGGACTGAAACATTGCAATAGTAAATATCACACATTTTCTTAAAGATATTCTACTTACTACCAACCAGGAGTTGGATAAACACCAGATACTACAAAAGGAGTTGGTCACAATCTCTAAAGTGAGCAAACCTATTCTAATTACTTTTAGCAGTTAAAAACCTTCTAACATTATTCTACTTATTGAACTGCTCCCTGATAGGAAGAAACTAATAACACAACTGAACTCTTCTTTCTGCTACAAATGGATAAATCAATAAACAACTCAGCGTTGGCCGATTGATAAGGCCATTTTGCCAGTTTCTAATAAGTGAAATGGGGCTAAGCTAAGATCAAAGTCACAAATCCCCCATTCTTTAACGACTTTGGGGTAATCAAAACTAAATAAAAAAATAGTCCAAATAATTCCAATCAGGATCTCTTGTATTGACTGGGATGAAGCATTCTCAGAGGTAAAGCTCTGTCTCTCCATTACGTACTGTCACTAGTCTCAGGTCCAGAGAGTAGTGAGAGTATGTAAAGGCGGGGGTGCTGATCTCTATCTCGGAGCTGCATGTCAAATCACATCAACATCCGGTGCTTAGCCTGCAGCAAGGAGGAGAGGCAAAAGAGGAGAAATCTCCCTCTCAGCAGTTTTGAACATTTTCTTTATAATTGTTTTCTTAAGCAGCTTTTATGGATAAAGGTTTTTAGCAAAGTTGGGAGAGGAGAAATCATGTTGATCTACCGAAGCCAACCTCTCCATTTCCCCCTGAACAACAGGACTCTCCCTCCCTAAATGTCTTCCTTTGTTTAACTCCCTTGTTTTGTTAACCCATGACCCAAAAGAAACATGTACATTTTAAGATTAGCCTTAGCAGTTTAAGGGCCAGCCAAATCATCTTAAAGGTGAATTTGATCAGGAACTAAAATAATGTTGTGATGTACAGTAGTGCTTGTTGAAGCAGTCCAAATCTGAACAAAACACCTAAAACTATCGCCACAGCTAGAATAATAAGAAAAGCCAAAAGTCCCCACTTAGCTTTATTGAAAGCAAAGAACATTTTTAGCCGTAAATCATTCACAAATGTCTTCTTCATTTGACCAAAAACAGAATGCATTGGATCCTATATTGAACTAGCAGACAAAACTGCTCTGAACAGAAAAAGTCCCAGATGGGACTCGCAGGTCCTTCATTTCTCCCCATCTCACGTGCAATGACAGCTAGATATGCTGCCTTATCCTGAGGTGGCCAAGTGCCAACTGTCAGCCTCGGCTGATGCTCCAAAGAGCAGTCTCTGCACAGTAACACTTTGCCTCCCTCTCTTTCCGAGACCAGGCAATCCAGTGGAGGATTCAAAGTCGGCCCATTAGGGAGCCGTGCCATCTTACCATGGCAGTAACAACTCTACCAATTACACATTCACCGGGAACATAAGGTCCCCACTCCAAAGGCTCCAGTCTCTCTTCACGAAGGTATCCTTGCTTGGCCATATTGGCACCCAGTAGGGCTTTCCCCACTAGATGAGATCACAAACCCCGTCCCTGGACTAGGGATACCAGCCCCCCCAATGTATTCGCTAGTGCAGTCTGTGGCAGGGCCATTATTTGTCTTTCTTATCTGTGTGCAGTGTACTTAGGGAAAATGTGTCAAGCTCAACAGTATTCTTTTTATTTACATGCACAAACAACAAAATCAGAAAAAAGGTTTTTGTGTTCCTTTTTTCAGTTTTTGTTGAAAATCTTTATGGGATTTTTGGGGGATTTAGTTTCTTGTGTTAAAAGAGAAACACACACGTACACGGACCCATATTGCACATGTTCACCAAAGGGTTCAAATGACAGAGCCACACATAAACATGCTACTAATCTCCACGCTTAGCTTTCTGATTGAAATGTTTTTTAGCTCTACTTAATCATATGTTTCATGTTTCAGGTCCTATTAGTTTATAGATGTGGGGGAGATGTTATACTTGATTCAAAGAAGTGATACCACAGTGTAGAAATACTGTAACAAGAACAAGTCTGGTATTGAAATGTACTTAGGTCAAAGTATTAGGATCAAATAATGCTTAAAGTACCATCATTAATATGACTCATAGTACGACTATTTTCATAATGATATATTATAGTCTGGATTCTAATCAATGATCCATTCATGTGAACATCATTTTGAATTTAGCAGCTGGTAAAGGTGGAGATAACTTGAATGACTTGTTATACTTCCAGGCAGGGACGTGCACAGACATTTGGAGGGGCTATTGCTCTAAACTGGAAAAAGGGCCTCCCCCCGAAAAAAAACACAAGACCTTTTGAAAATTGTAACTTGTTTTTAATGTAAAAGAAACCAAACGATTATTACATCAACTAAATTGAACAGTAATTCACATCTCATAAGAAAATAAGCTAAGGCGACTATACTTGCATTCGGTGACTTGATTTTAAAAATGAAAACCAGGGACATTTTTAGTTTTGCGGTCCATATCTCATTAAAATATCTAATGTTACTAACTATTAAAGAAAGAATGGGGACAATTCAATGTAGTATTCCATAACTTAATAACAGAGATGGTCAAACTAAAGTGGTACATGGCAGAAATCCTACAATGAAGCGGGACAGTGAACTGTTCACCCGTGAGAGGGCGATCAAGAAAAGAGAGCGAGCGGCGCGTTGAGGGAGTTTACAGATGAGAAGACACAGAAAGACAGAAGCACAATAACAACAAGTAGGCTATATTTAGGTGTTTCTTTGTAAATAACCCACGGTATCAAGAGGAAGTAAAGTCCCCTGGTTTGTCCCCCTGGACCCCCCTAGAGGAGGTTAGGTCCCCCCCCACTTCAATCATGTTCACATGGAGAGGAAACTAAACACATTTGCACACATCTTGTGTCCATATCTTTCTGTTGTGGTGGTCCTGCCACACCGTGCACGTGCATGCATGCCACACCGTGCACGTGCATGCATGCCACACCGTGCACGTGCATGCATGCCACACCGTGCACGTGCATGCATGCCACACCGTGCACGTGCATGCATGCGTGAGTCATGGTGAGATATCTGGATTAAGAGGTTGCTTTTTCTTTGCACAGCATGAAAGAAAGGCCAAATGAAAGGGCTGTGATTTGAGTCTTTTGAAGCAGAGGTCAATCATTTGTACGGCCCTCGGAGGATGTTGAAAACATGGAAATGGCCCTTGAGAGGAAAAAGGTTCCCCACCCCTGCTCTACACAGACAGTTCTAACTCGTTGCTTTAAATGACTCACAGTTTGAAGTGTTGCTTGGCCTCCGATGGTTAGATGATGTTGCGATGTGTTTGCTCAAAATAAAATAACAAACTTTTGCACATGCAACAAAGAAAATAGGCCTTTACAATATTCAAAAGAAATAGGCCAAACTCAAATAAAATAACAAACTACTTAGGTATTCTTTCTTTCTTGATAATGCTTATAACTTCATAACTTAAAGGGTACTTGTACCATTGTATGTACGTGTACGTGTACGGCTTAACAACTGTTCCTCGACGGCGACTCTCTAACAAACTTTCTTATAAAAGTATTATAAAACGATATACTCCAGTAAAGTAATTCAAACCTGTACTTACAGTACTTGAGTATATGTACTTTATTACTTCCCACCACTGGTTTATAGAGAGCTGGAGTTAATGATCTCATTATCACTCGGAAGTATTAATAGTAATAAATGATTGATTATTAAAATATGCTAATATCAATGAAGGACACGACTCTCTTGTTTCTCTTCAGAGCCTGGTGTTAGGCTGGTGGGAGGAGAGAGTCGCTGTGCAGGAGCTCTGGAGGTGGAACATGAGGGAGAATGGAGACTAGTGTGGGGCTCTAACTCTCTCAGGACCCTGAAGACAGCAGGAGTCGCCTGCAGAGAGCTTGACTGTGGCTCTGCTGTTTTCTGTGGGATGGAGAGAGGGGTCCTCAAAGAGACCTGTGTGGATGATCAGACCTGACTGTGTTGAGTCTGGATCTGCTCTGAGGGAGTGTGCAACATCACATTCCTCTTTACTTCCTGACTCTC